AAGCGCTCCAGAAGATAACGAAGCCAAGAACATGAAGATATTGCAGCTCAATCTCAATCATTGTGAGGCTGCGCATGACCTGCTCATGCAAACTGTGCGCGAATTAGAGGCAGACGTAGCACTTATAAGTGAGCCTTATAGACACTTGAGTAATCAACCCTGGGAATCCGACAGCACTAACAAAGCCGTCATCTGGTCCTGCGGTAAATTTCCTTTTCAGAGAACAGCCAACAACAAAGAAGCCGGCTTCGCAGCAGCATGGGTAGATGGCCTCCGCTTCTAGAGCTGCTGTGCACCACCTAGTCTCTCTAATAAACAGTTTGAAGACTTCCTTGATCGGCTAGCTGAGGACGCAAGATCAATCGGCGGCCAAGGAAGCAATCGCAGGAACCTGATGGAAGGGTGGAACGAAAGAGTATTGTCTGGTGGCGACCCTAGACATCAGAAACGCCTTCAACTCTGCCAATTGGGAATGCATCATGCAGGCTCTCCAAGAGAAGAATGTACCAGAATACCTTTTTAAGATCGTAACAAGCTACTTTGAGAATAGGGTCTTGAAGTATGACACGAAGTACGGTCCGAGGGAGTATGATATTACTGGAGGTGTACCACAAGGTTCAGTTTTAGGCCCGCTCCTATGGAATATTATGTATGATGGTCTATTAAGACTAACTCTGCCAAGAAACGTCAATTTCGTAGCATATGCAGATGACGTAGCCGTATTGATTGTTGCCAAACACCTTGACGAGATAAACTATATGTTTGATCTCACTTTTGAGCGCGTTAACTGGTGGATGGACGCAGTGAACCTGCAACTGGCGCACCATAAGACTGAGGCAGTGCTTATTACCAGCCGAAAAGTGGTAGAGACCATTAAGCTGAAATTCGGCGAACAAGAAATCACATCACAATCTTATATCCGATATTTGGGAGTGATGCTTGATGTCCGACTCAACTTCAAGCAGCAAGTGGAGTATGTCAGTGCCAAAGCATCAGTAGTGAGGGCTTGTCTAGCACGACTGATGCCGAACGTCGGAGGCCCAATGCAGAGCAGGAGGCTATTACTGTCATCAGTAGTCACATTGGTGCTCACTTACGGAATATCCATTTGGGCCGACGGACTAAAGACGCAAGAATCATGGAGAAAGGCTGGACCAGTATATCGACTGAGTGCCCTACGAGTATCTAGCGCCTTTCGCACAATATCAGAGGATGCGGTGTGTGTTATTTCCGGTACTCTGCCTCTCAGAGTCCTAGGAAAGACGGAACCTATATCAGCGAAAAAGGTCAACCACACTGCGCCCTGAAGAACTTAGAAGCGAAGAACGGTAACACAGCATCGCAAGATGGCAACATCTGATGTTATCAGGACACGGATGTTTTCGGACGTATCTCCACCGCTTTAAGCATGACTATACCCCAGAGTGCCCGTCCTGTCCAGGGGTCGATGAAGATGCGGAGCATGTCTTCTTTGTGTGTCCACGTTTCAACCAACAGCGGAATGAGTTAGAGAAGATTCTGAAGAAGAGAGCCCAACCAGAGTCAATAGTAGAGGCTATGTTGTCGTCAGAAGCTGCCTGGACGCCATAAGCATTTTTGCTACAAAAGTGCTTACTGAGTTGCGATCCATTGAGAGGAAAAGAGCGAAAGACAGAATCTAGAAGGAAGATAACATCTTAGCCCCCAGAAGGAAGAGCGGCAGCTAATTCCTCCCTCTGCGAAGAAATGCCTTACGGCGGTACCATGGGGGATCAGAGGATAGAAGAGAAAGGGGTTTAGGGTTTAGTGGGTAGGGGCGTCAGCGTCGAGTTTTAGTATGATGCTGCGTCGAGTCGCCACATATCCAGGCCAACATCTATGCCTAGAATCCGTAAAAAGGATTCCCCCCTCCTAAGGAGAAAAAAAAAAAAAAAAAAAAATCACACACATACACACACACACACACATACAGCCGCACGGATACCATCGCGGGAATAGTCAGGGAAGCTTCCTGTGACCTCAAAACTTCGAAGTCTGATGAAAACTCAATTTTCGCAATACGGAGAAACACACACACACACACATACAGAGGAGAAACCTGCGGCAGAAGAAAAACTGCTACCAATTTGAAAAAAATGCTTAAAATATAAAAATGATGATAATAAAATAGAAAATTGATATCCATGGTCTTTATGCATCGGACTTTACTCAGAATCCACAGAGTCATGAAACAGTCTCATGATTTTTACGTAGGTATCGACGAAGATTATTCCCACAAATATGTCTGTGATCATTGCGAATAATTGTATATCGACGTTCTAAGTAGCAAATTGTCTAACTTCATTTTAACGAATCTTTCATTTGTACGAGAATACAATTAGTCTTAAATTTATTATCACTTTAATAAAGCATTTAATATTTAATCGAGGTATTATAGTTTGGTTAGGATCATTCAAATAATTTATAAGCGAACTATAACTGCGTCAAAATTTAGAAAACATTACCCTCTCAAAAATAAGGAGTTAGACGAATTGCTAATTAGACCGTCGATATCAAATTATCTCGATGTGATTTATTAATTATCGAAAATTTATATTTCATGTTTTATTCAAAATTTAATTTTTTCAACGTTTTTAAAAAATTATTATAAATTTTATTATAGAGCTGGTAATTAGTTTTAAATAAATATGAATTAATAATGTAATTAATTCCTTTTATTGCACTTAGAGGTTTTAAACCTATCTACAAGAAAAAGTACAGAGATGGTATTTGGCAAATAATTGGTTACATTAGTTTACGTTAATTGAAATCACATGTTGAGTCTCTAATTCAAAATTAGAAATATTAATAGCGTAGAGTAAGACATCTTTGAAGGAACTCAAATCGAAGTTAATAATACAATTAACTTACTGCTTTGATATCAAAAAACTTTTTTCATTTTTTTACCAGTCATATAATTCAATTTTTCGTTAAATTTTTCAGTTCAATTAAATTTTTTCCTTATTCATTTTACCCGAGATAAATACAATCAACCTGAAGAAGCTTAAAAAAGTTAATTCTTTAAATTTCTCACAATTCGAAAAGAAAAAAAATTTTTTTTGTTCCAATTTTTTTTCGAGTGATTCATTATGACCTACATTATCACATATCAGCCCAAAATATCATAAAAACATCATAGGAGTCATAACTTAACGGAAAATGAAAAAAAAAATTTTTTACCTAATTTTTGAGGTGGGCCGTTGTGCTCCGGGTGGGCCGCTGTCCCCCACTCTCCCCTATCAGTACTATATCTTTTTCCCGGTACTCGGTGATATTACATACTTTGAACTTTTAACTTAAAATAAAACTCAGCGTACAAGCTGAGTCGTAAATTTTTTGGTTTAAGTGGTATGCAGGCTACCGTAGTTTTGATCACCTTCACTTCAGCTTGTTCTTTTTCCGCGGAGTACTTCAATAAAATATAATAGAATATGATACAAGTACAAGCAAGGGTTAAATTATCGCGACAGCTTATTTGCCGACGGTGAAATTATCTAATTTTTCATCTCACTTCCAGAGTATGTTATATGTATAAATTTTTACGACCGACAAGAAGTTAGTTTATTGTAATAATAATTACTGATAACTATAACTATAACTATAACCTACAAGTATCGTTACGTGTAAAATAAAATGAGGGAAGATTATAACTTTGAGTGATTTTATGTTTATGTAAATGTCTGTAGATAGATAACTATAATTTATGGGGACGTTTTATAGTCAACAAACAAACTAAAATATAATAGATGGTAGTAAAATTTTAGTATGATAAATTTAGGTTATACTAGTTTGTTGTTGTTATTAGTTATTATTGTTGATTTTTCGAATTGGAGAGCTGAAGATTAAACGAAATAAAGTTATATTTTCTCAGATCAATTTATTTTTACACGGATAAAGAAATGCGTCGTCTACATGGCGCGAAATTTTTCTCCTTGAGAAAAATTGTTTGTAAAAACAATAAACTTTAACAAAAATATTGTATCGAGCAATATGTCAAGTAGTTGATGAAATTTTTATCAAAGAACAACTACACACTTTATTCCAAGTACATGCTAAATATGAGCTCAATAGTTGATGTAATTCTTATAAAACAAAAATTAAAAATGCTGGTTCAAGAAAACTTTTCTAGTTTGGTAAAATTATATTTCCATTTACTTGGCATTCATACTGATAAATAAAATTACTAGGTACCGCAGTACCACGTATAAAATCCTTGTTTGTCAATCAAAGTTATAAACTTAATAAATCGATCCTCTTCCGGCGATAACAGCAATAACTTGAACTGAACGAAAGCAACGATTACTGGTATAAAATATTAAAACCGATATTGATTGTAAAAAAAATGTAAAAGAGGTTGAAAGTATTCCACCTTTGCCTCTATAATATAATAAACTTGTAATCAATCTTATCGTGACAAGTTCTAAGAGATTGAAGTAAAGGGATCGTCGCTTCACTGATGGAAGTGATATCTATATACATAAATTCTATATTATATATGGTATATACAAACCCCAAAGGTGTAGGTGTGTTAACGAGCGTGAAACTGAACCCTTCTAGGTGTATTGCTGTCACGTAAACCACTTAATTTTCTCGGACGGAACAAAATTACAGAATAACGGGAACATCTCCTGGGAATAATTGTCTACTTTTATTAATATCTCGTCAACCGTGATATTACACTGTGAAAAATCAGGAGTGAATTTTACTCCGCATTCACTCCCGTCACTCGGAGTACCGGAGTGAAGTAATTCAATACTCCGCGTTCGGAGTGAATACGGAGTTTTTTTCAGCGGAATGATTTCAGAGTGATTCTGGAGTGAATCTGGATTTTAATACGGAGAACATTCAAGTACGGAGTTCTAATAGGGGAGGGGGGGGCAAAATGGGGCACTTAAGCAATCATTATGATTTTAAGGACTTAAATACGCTGATTTTTCTCGTTTTCAGTCGTAATTATAGATAGATAATCAAATTTCAAGTTGCCGTAGAAAAAAAATTTTTTTTTGCGGTCAAAATGGGGTACTCCCTGAAAGAGTGAAAAAAAAAAATTCTTCATCCGAAAATGAAATATCGTTAAAAAAATAACATTTTCTTATCGATGAGTCTACGAAAGAACCCAAAGAGAGAAACAAATCACCGAAGAAAGAGACATTGTTAGTTGAATCAATATATTCCTAACAAAAATTGAGGTAGTAAAAAAAATTTTAAAACTTTGTCGTAATTTTTGACGGGTTTCGCTTGAATAAAAATAATATCAAGATAAAAAAAAAAGAGTTCTCTTGAGAAAATTCTAGTATTTGGAACTCCCGGTGAAAAAAATTTTAGACTCATAGTTTTCACGCAATTCAAAGTAATAGCACGAAAAAAAAGATTCGTAATTTCTTTTGCACTCTTTTTCTTGGTTTAGGGATTCAGGAAAATTTTTTCAAGTTGAATAATCTTGTAGGCCTGAAGGTTTTACTTTTTAAATTAAATATCTCACAAGCGCACCAAATGATTTCGAAGCAATTGGCGGCCTCTGACTCAGTTTTCTGAGCATTAATAGTTAAATTATATCATCAAAAATAATTCGAGAATAAATTCGACGTTATTTGAAAAAGACACTTTTTTAAAATAATTAGTGTACGATTTCTCTTCAATACATCACCCGATTTTGATGCGGTTTGCAGCAGTCAACGTCGTTTTTTAAATTAAAAAACTGTTTAGATTTTGGAATTGATCGTTACATCTGCTTAAAAGCTGTTAAAAAAAAAGTCTTTTTAAATTTATGAGGAAGTCTAAGTTTCGCTGAACCTTATCGAATGACGCGAATGTCGTTCAAATCAGTGGAGTCGCTCAAAAGTTATGAGAGGTTTACACACACACACAGTAAAAAATTTTTCGTCATTGTGTAAAGTGTAAAAATGTTTGTGTAGAATTTAACATCTTAGCATGTAGAATTTAACATTTTAGTATGTTGATTCAACACAATAGAGTGTTGATTCAACACA